CTACTGCTCTCCTCTCTGCTGTTCTCACTCTGTTTCCTGCTATTGCATTCCTACTCTCCTGCCTCCTATTCTGCTCGTCCTCCCTTGCCACCAATTTCTCCTCTCTCCTGCTGCTCTTATTATTGACTCTTACACTTCCCCCCTGCCTATCCCCCCCACACCCCTCCCACATGATTACTTCCACCATGATTACTTCCACCATCTCCTTGTTCTCTACCTTACCCCCATCACTTGTCTACTCCCACTTCTACTGTTGCTTCTCCTACTCCCATCTTATTGTGCTGTCTGTCCTGCTAACTCTATTGCTGTACCTTGTTTTCTATATTCTATACAAAACAAAATATAGTTATTGTATTTTGTATCCTTATATAATGTTATTACTTATCCCTCTATTGCATGCCACTGTCTTCTTACTTCTCTCTTCTGCTGCCTTCTCTGTTGCTCCCACTTGGTCGCCTGCTGCCTCTCTACTCCTGCCTCCCTTCATCCACTGCTACGTCTGCTACAATCTCACTCCCACCTATTGCCTCTCTCTCTTGCATGCCTCTCCTCCTACGGTCCCATTGCCCTATCTTCTGCTGCTCCTGCCCTACCGTCTGCCGCTCTTTTTACTCTCCTTCTTTCTCCTTGTCCCTTTTCTAACTCCTACATGTTACCTACTGCAATCTCTCTACTCTCTCCCTCGCTCCTACATCTACGGCACAGTCTCCTGCTGCACCTGCTTCATCTGCCACCTCCTTTCAACACTCTTCCTGCCTCCTCTCTTGCTATTGCTCTGTAATCTGCTACTGTCCTTCTACTCACTCTCATGCTACTTAGCACTTTTTACTTGCTCTTTTGCCCTGCTTTCACCGCTTCTGCTACTTCTCCTCCTGCCACATCTCCTCCTGCTGCCCTTCCTTTGCTGCTGACTCTCATACACCATCGCTAGCTGCTCTTACACCTACTGCTACAACAACTGCTGCCGCTATAACTGCTGCAAGTACCGCCACCGCTACATCCACTGTTCTTACGTCTGCTACCTTTGCACCTGCTGCTCTCACACATGCTAAGTACATCTCTAGTGATCCAAATTCAGCTACATCTATCTGCATCCTCCCCTCCTCCTTCATCCTATTCTAGCCATGCCTGCAGCACTCGAATAACAACCACCATCACATTGCTAAAGTATTCTCCCCACACCCGAACCCCGTGCCTCTTACCTAGCCAGACAGCATACTCCTGCCAGCCTCCACCTCTACCTCTGCCTCCACCTCCACCAAGCTGTCCATGATACCCGCACGCTCAGATGATTTCAACCCCTTCGTCTACCTCTGCAGCTGCTCTTGCCACCGGTATTACTACATTCGGCCATTGACACCGGTTGCTAATTGCTTCACCCGTCGCACAGTACTTCTGACTGACCCAGCACCACCGGCAGCTGTGACTGCCACCTCCATCACGCATCCCCCATCGAAACTGATCGAGCTCGAGTCCTGTTACGCCTGCGTACTCCGTGCATTGCATCGTCCTGTGCCCCTACCACCCACCTGTCCCTTTGTCTCCCAACACCCAGCACACCACACATCCCTCGTGGAGCTCGTCTATCACCTCCTGCACCTGCTGCCACTCCCAGCTCGCCTCCAGCTGTGAGTCCTGCCACTCACGAACCCCCTCGCCACACCGGTCGCACCCAGCGGATTCGATATCGTTGCATTCTACCCGCTTGCCATCCAAGTAGCTGCTCATCAGCCCTCGCCGGCACCCACTCCCGATGAGAAACATGCCCATTGCCTGTACGTCCAAGTCCTCACTCTTCCACTACATTGTACGCTCTACCTCGCCATGCTCTACAATAATAATTGAATCCACCCGCTCACCAGCTCGCCCCCCCAACCCACTCTCTTGCGCATAGTCAATCATGCTCCATGGCATCCCTACATGCAGTATCGAAACCACACTAGGGAAATCTACGCCTATCCCTAATGCCGACGTAGCTACAATCCAGCCCCCCTGCTTCACCCACAGCTCGAGCTGCTCGCCACGGTCTGGGTCACCCGCATGATAGTATCCGCACCCCAGCGCCTCCACCACGTCCTCACACTGCTGCTTGCTGCGGCAGTACACGACTCCCTTTTCTCTTCGATCGGCCAGCCGCTGCTGCTGCCGCCGGCAGATTGCCAGTGCCGTGTCCTGAGCCTTGCCACACTCACACCATGACACAAAGTAACGTGTATTCGGCCGCACTGTGCTCGCTCGAATGTACATCGCACACTGAATTAGCATGCTTGATGCCAGCTCGCCCTCCCGTGCCGGTGGAAGTGTCGCCGTGAGTAGCACCAGCAGGCACGGCAGCAGCCGCAGATTCTTCAGCAGTGCCAGCTTCGGCCGCCAGTCGCTCGACGTGAAGATGAGATGACATTCATCTACGACCACCCGTCGCAGCAGCCCCTTGCCACTGAGCATATTCGCATAGCCTAGAAAGTTACCATTGCTGATAGTGTTACCTGCCACGTCGGCACTGACGACGACAACAGCTGCCGGGTTGCTCTCCCCATGCTTCCACTCCATGCAGCGGATCCCGCACTTCTGTATATGGCCCACCAAGTCCTGAATTAATGTGCGATACGGCACGACGACTACCGTCACCCCACTGCCATCCATGCAAGCTGGCACCATGAACAGCAAGCTCTTGCCACCGCCTGTTGGAAGCACCACAACAAGCGGTGTCTGCCCATCAAGCACCGCGTGCAGTGCCTGCTCCTGCTCCACCGACTGGAAGCCAACCTCCTCTTGCCCAAGCACTTGCTGCATTGCCTTGCGGATCGCTTTCTCTCTCCT